GACGGGGACCATCCTGTTGGGTTCATCCATAGGAAGGAACTTCCTGGCTTGGGGAAGCTTCGGGACCGTGGAGAGAGGAGGGGGACCCCAGACATCAAGCAGGCAGGCAGGATTGGACCTTGGGGTATGGGGGACGGCCTTGGCTGGGCTAGCGGGGGGCTCAGGCAGGTCCAGACCTGCTCTGCCAGGGTGTTCCTGGCGCTGTGAAGCAAGAGGAGGGCTGGCCGGTAATTCCTGCCCTCGTCCTGCCGCCACCGCCGCCCTGCCACGCGGCTCCCAGCCCCATTCCTTCCTAATGAGCCCTGGGAACTGGCGGCCGCGGCTCCAGTGCTGCGGAGCCCCGCGGCCCCAGCGCCATAATTGCCGCCCTGTCCCATGCGTGGGGGCGGCTGCCCTGGCGGGGCAGGTGGGGCAGCTGGTGTGGGGTGACTACCGTGCCAGAGCTGGGGCAGGTGGCTTGGAGGATTTTTAGGGTAACCCTGTATGAGCAGTGATGTGGGGAGACAAGCACCCTGCATATCAGCACTGCCAGCTTTTTGCCTTTCTGTGGAGGCTGTGTTTTGCCTGCCTGGGGGCTTGCAGTAACTCCAGGACTGGCGGCAGCAGAGACTCCCGTGCACACCCTAAGTGATGGCACCGTGAGCTTTGGTGGCACGCTGCCTGCCCTTCCACCCCTAGTCCTCCAGCATGGGCTTGTGGATGGTCCCAGGGCCCCCGTCCCTGACCCCCGTCCCCACAGGTGACCACAGGCAGCGATGGCAGAATGCACGGAGCTGGAATGGGCTGTCCAGGTGCTGGTGAACAATTTTGACAAGTACTCAAGCCGCCGCTGCTGCTGCAAGAAGCCACGGCGCATCAGCAAGAAGGATTTCCGCAAGATGCTGAGCTGTGAGCTCAACCACATGCTGACGGTGAGGCTGGGGTGCATGGGGCCAGGGGACCGGCTCCTCCTCACACTTGCACGGGGTCCCCCCCACCCTGCACCTTGCTTTCCCTGCTGCCCCAGTGTAAGTGGCTCCGCTGTCTCCCCCAGGACACTGGGAACCGTCGAGCGGCCGACAAACTCATCTGTGACCTGGACGAGAACAAAGACGGGCGCATCAGCTTCGAGGAGTACTGGACCTTGATAGGTGGCATCGCAAGCCCCATCGCCCAAATCATCCGCCAGCAGGAGCAGAGCGTCAAGCACACCAAGTAGCCGGCTGCATCTGGACCCTCCCCAGGCTCAGCCTGACGGGCTCAGCCCCTGCTTCTCCATGGCTCCCTGCTTCTCGCCTCGCCCGCTGCCGAGCCGCGCCCCGAGCCCCAGCTTGCTGCGGGGCACCCCAGTCTCCCACAGCTTTGCCGACTGAGCCATGCCAGAGTGTGATCAGGGCAGGAAGATCCTGTGGGTGGGAGCTGAGGGGTGCAAGGCCACCACAGCCTTGGGGCAGTCCTCCTTACCCCACACCATGCCATCCCTGCCCTCGTCCTCTTCTGCAAGCCTTGTCCTTGCAGGGGTGCTGGGCAAGAAGCAAAGGGAGAGGCTTCCCCTCATCTAGGACATGAATTCTGTCTGTTCTCAGACCTCTGGGGTGCAGCCCTGCTGGCAGAAACCCCATCACGACCGGGACCCCCTCTCCCATTGGAGCTCCCCCTCAAAGTCAGGGGTCTTCTTGGGAAAAGCGTGCCTTTTCCCCTGCCCAAGCTGGTGAAGGGTCTGCCCTGCCTGTGCTGCCTGGTGCTCTGGTCCTTTGGGCTCGGGGAGTGGCGCAGTCCCATCTGGGCAACACCTCAGTGGTTATTTATTGCAGCAATAAAGTTTGGAGGAGCAGTGGGTGAAGCTGAGGCTCTGCTTTCCCGGGGGCTGCCCCGCAGCATGCATGCATGGATGGGATGTGGGGGGCCAAGAGAGGGAGTCTGCCCTATTTCCCATCATGCAGTCACAGCGTACCCTGGGCTGGCGATAACACCCATCCCAGCCTTCTGGCGTGGCAGGGATGGGCTCCCTGGGGCTGATCGAGCCACCACGAGGTGTCAGCAGACACCGTGGCCTCCCAGCACCCCAACCCGTTGCCTGGGACACAGGGTGCGGATGATGCTGCCACATGTCCTGAGGGACCCTCTCCATGTCTCCATGTGGCGTCCCAAGCACCTGGGACTACAGCCCCCCATCCGTACACCATAAGATCACAGCCACCCCAACCCCAGCGTGTCTCAGGTGACCCCAATTCCCGTGCTGCATCTCGGCTCATTGCACACCCCCCCACCCGGGATGGGGATGGGGAAAAGCTCCATGCCCTTGCGTGTGCCAGGGACACCCTGGGCTCCAGTGCTCGGTGGGGAGTGTGCTGCAGCCTGGCTCATGGCGCCCTGTGACGCCCACGGTGCTGGCAGGCAGCCCAAACCGGCGGCCCCAGCACCTGCTGGGGATTTTCCACTGGGAGGTGACTTGGCCCCAGGCCTGTGAGCATGGTGGTGACCCTCTGCGACCCCCACTCCCACGGCAGGGGGGATGACAGCACCTTGGAGCCAGGACCCCCATCCTTTTCCAGCCAGCCCCCCTCGCCGATGCAGGAGCATCGCTGGCTCCTGCCTGTCCCCCTGCCCATGCAGCCCACCTTCCCCTGCCCTGCAGCATCAGGGGTCCCAGGCAAACCAGGGGTGCTCCTGTGGGAGACGGAGCAGCTGGGTAGGGCTGCGGCTGAGTCATAGCAGAGGAATCCCCCTCAGGCAAGGGCAGGGCTCCTGACTCACTCTGCTGTTTATGGGGTGACTGGGGATTGGCTGGGTGCTGTGCCTAGCTGCTCACGCAGGATCCCAGTGATCTGGTGGGATCCAGAGTAGACTCTAGGGGTCTCTCCAGAAAGGACCCTCAGGGCGAGGGGGAACCAGCCCCCAACATCTCATTTCTAGATGCAGATCAGCTGCAGTGCACAGAAACAATTCAGGATGCCCCACCCCCACCTTATGCTAACTTCCTCACAGGACCCAGGCATCTGAGCTGGGGCTCTGAGCACTTGCAGGCCCCACGCCCGTGCTGGTTGAGGCAGGGTACATTATTTCCCCATCCCAGAGCTGCTTGGAGCAAACACGGGTGCATGGGGAACCCAGGAGACACGGGAGGGGCTGCTGCAGTGCACCAGTGTGCAGGGGACCAGTGTGCGAGAGAAAGCATTGCACAAGCATCCATGTGGGCAGGGGGTGTTTTGTGTGTCCGTACGCTCGGCAGCTGCACCCCTGGGTGCTCCTCCTGGAAAACACTGGGGCACTTTGCACAGCACCATATGGCAGGCGGGGAGGGGGATGGTGTGGGGCTATGCAACAGGGATGGGGCTGCCAGGCTCTGCAGCTGGCCCCAATTTAGGGAACTCAAACCCACGCTCCTGTCCTCATGTCTCCAGTGGGATCAGCTCTGGGCACCCTGTGCCAGCTGCTAACCCAGCCCTGGTGGTGCACCAGTCTCGAGGTCCCATGTGCCGCAAGGTTTGCAAGATTTCAGAAAATGCCCCAAATATGTTTTTCCCCATGGTCTTCTCTAGCTGCCAAATCTCTGGGAGAAGAAAGACACGGTTCCTTTGCAATCACCAGAGACCAAAATGTTGGCTGTCTTCGAGTTGCTCGAGGCCAGGCCACCTTGGGTTTCACCAGATGAGGATTTACCCTGGCTCCCTCCTCCAAACCAAACAGGATTTTGTGGATGGGTGGTAATGCAAAAATAACTGGGGGTTTGCAGGAAAAAGCCAGGTGCCCTCCCTGGTAGTGGCACTCCCCCAGGAGCAACCTCCTGCCAGGATGGCCACCACCCTGGAACAAGCCCTGGCCTCCAGCAAGTGCTCAGGGAAGGAGCATGACAAGTACCAGCTGAGCAAGGCTGAGCTGAAGGAGCTGCCCAGCTTCATGGGGGTGAGGGTGGGGACACTCAGGACTGAGCCCCACCAGCATCCTCGCATCTCTCCCCACCACTGGGGAAGATGTGGGGGTGAGGGAAGGGCTCTCTCCTCCCTCAAACAGGTTCCCCCCACCTGCTGAAACCACCTGTTGCGGCTGATGCCTACTTGTGCCGTGGCTGGTGAGCACCATCCTTGACCCTGCTGATGCTCTGTGCCAGGAACAACTGGATAAGCGTAGCTTCTGGGTGCTGTTGAAGGACAAGGACAACGTGATGGACTTCAAGGAATATGCGGTCCTCCTGGGCTGCCTCACCATGCTCTGCAATGACTTCTGCACTAAGGCTCATGGCCCTGCCAGCTGGCACTGAGCCCCAGCTCATGGCTCAAATAAAAGAGCTGTCACCTCCCCAGCCCCACTGCAGAGCCTGTTCATTTGCATTGGGATCACCAGGATGGGAGTGCTTGGGACCATCTGTCTTGGGGACACCAGGGCCACCCAGAAAGCTGGCAATGTGGGGTACAGTACAGTGATGGCTTAGTGGGGGGTCATGGGCTGGTGACCAGCTTTCTCTGGGGACCCCCAAGGGATGCCCCAGCCCTTCCCAGTCCCTGCACCCATCACTTGGCTTGTGCCTTGGTCCCTAGACTCCCCAGTAGGGCCAGCAGCTCCTCCCAGCACCCACCCACCTCCCACTAATGGGATCACACAGCTCGTTAGGCAAAAATGAGGTGCGGATGAAACTGCCAGCATGGAGCTGCTGGGAAAGCCTGGAGGCGAGGGGGCTGCGTGGGGCATGCTGGGCAGTGCCACCCTGGCTGGGCTATAAATGCCCATTGTGCTCCAGATGCAGCACCCTGGCTCCTTGCTGTTGCCTGGTCTGCACCAACCCCGGTAAGTCTTTGCTCCCCTTCCTTGTGCATCACTTGTTGTGCAGCTTTGCTCTCCAGATGCAATTCACCCAGCAGTTGCTGCACCCTAAAATGCCTCCCTGAGAGGCACTGGGGTTGCAGCTACCCCCTTAAAGGATCACAGACCAATTTGGGCAGGGTGGGGGGGGACAGACCCCCCTGCCACTGCCCTGACCCCATCCTTGGTGCTCTGCCCTCCAGGCACGTAGGAGGCTGGCGATGGCGTGTCCCCTGGAGCAGGCGCTGGCCGTGATGGTCGCCACCTTCCACAAGTACTCAGGGAAGGAAGGGGACAAATATAAACTCAGTAAGGCGGAGCTCAAGGAGCTGCTGAACAAGGAGCTGCCCATCTTTGGGAGCGTAAGTGGCTGTGGGGGCACATACCTTTGCATCCCCTCAGAGGTGCCCATGTACAGGTGGGAGGTGTTGTAGGAGCAGGAGCAAACCAGCCTTGGGTCTTTCCACGTAGCATGGTGCAAACCGCACAGGGGTGAGCCGAGGTGGTCTCTGAATTTCCCCAAAGCGTGCATGACAGATGCAGCCCACATGCAACACACTGAGATCTTGTGCTCCAGGGCAAGCCCTGGGGAGAAGGAGGGTTGAGGCCAGGACGACCCAAGCTGGAGCATGCTCAGTCTGAAAGGAAACTTGGCTTTCTTATACCCACAGAAATATTTTGATTGGCAAAGAAAAATCATGCTCTGATTTAAATTTTTTAATCCTTTTTTAACTCCCCAACTTCCCCTTCTGGCTTGTGGTTTAACTTGGGAGGAGGGAGGAGAAATTTTTTAGCCAGACCTTTTCATGACTGAGAGGTATATTTGCTGTAGTTGTGCCAGCACACCCCAGAGCACAGGTAAGCCAGCTGCATTTCTAAAGCCCACCTCCTTCCAAAGGCAAAGAGAAAACCCTCCTTCAAGGTAAGGGGAGGGAAGCCAAGGCTTTTTACATCCTTCCTTGCAAGCAGCGGGGCTGGATGAGAAAGCACCTCACTCATCTGTGCACCCCGAAACCGCTTACCCTCACCATGCTCTCCCCCCTCGCAGAAACAAATGGACGAGGTGGAATTCAAGAGGCTTGTGAATGACCTGGACCACAACAAGGATAGCGAGGTGGACTTTAAGGAGTATGTCTGCTTCCTGGCCTGCATCACCATGGGCTTCAATGAGTTCTTCAAGGATGGCCCCACCAAGCAGCCCCGCAAGAAGTGACCCCCACTGCCCACAGTATCACCGCGGGGCTCTCAATAAAAGCTTTTCCAAAGCCTTGGTGTGCATCAGCACGGTTTTCCGCGCCGTAGGTTAACGGGCAGCTGGGTGACTCACGCCCTCCTCCAGCTTTGTGGGATTTTCCATGGTGTGACTCAGCCCCAGGAGGCATTCTTTGGAAAAGCCTGAGCAAAACAGCTCAGTGCCGCCTCTGAGCAATGTACTTGGACATTGCCCTGAACCGTCCTTGCTGGCTTGAGGAGAGGTTCAGTGCATGTTTAGCTCAAAACATACAAGCTTCCCTGAGAAGAGCTTGGCTTGTAGGTTGGCACAAGCTGCCCTGGGCAATGCATTGGGTTTAGGGAGAGAAAGCTGGTCTGGAGGAGCCGGACAGCAAGATGCTAGGTCCATGCAAAGCACAAAAGCCAGAGTGTGTCCCCAATTCCCACAGAGAAGAGCTGTTTCTGAGCAGCTGGAGGAGATCCTTAGACCCCTCAGACTAGCCCATGCTGGGGGACTGCATTGGAGGTCAGCCTAAGCCCCCTCCCAGGTGTACCACAGAGCCGTGGGGCTGCAGATAAGCAGCAGTTTCCTGAGCACATCAGCCTGTGATACTGGCTGGGAAGCACAGAGCTCACCCCCCCACTCCACCTCCCCATAGCCTCAGCAGCTCCTGGCAGGTCTGGGCTGGTTTGCAGAAGGTGCTGCAGCTGCTCTCCAGCTTTCCCCAGCAGCCCCAAAACCTCAGAGAAACCATTGCAGTTTCAAAAAAGCCCTTACAAAGCCTCTGCATCATTGCATGGCAGAGCCTGTCCCCAAGTCCTCCTTGAGCCCCCAGGTCCTTCCAGCATCTCCCCAGCAGCCTCAAACTTTGCTTTGCCCCTTCCCAGTGTCTTTATAAAGAGCGCCAGGGAGCTTCTGCCTCCTGCCCGTAATTTACACCAGTTTGCACTTGCTAGTAGGGAGACAAGGTTCAGGCTTGGGGGTTTCTTTTGCCAAAATGGTCCTTAAAGAAACCCCTGACCTGGGAAGAAGCTGTGCGGTGTTTGGTGAGGTTTCGCATCCCACAGGGCACCAGAGCAACCCAGAGCTGTCAGGGGGGCTTCATCCCCTGTTTTTCTCACTCTGGTCCCTGCAGCAGCGGGTGCCTTTGTCCTGAGGGGGCTCAGACAGGCTCAGGGACACTCGGGGTATTTGTCAACCCTTGCACCATGGCGAACAGCCGGTTTGCCCCATGGCAGGGGGTTGCAAACTGCCTGCTCCTGGCTTTCCCCTGCAACTCCCTGACATGCGCTCGGGACATGCAGACACCAAAATAGCTCTCAGTTACACAATGGGGCATTGTGACGCACTGCCCTCACAGTTAGGAAATAGAAATTGCTTGCAGTCGAGTTAAAAAACAGAAAAAAACCCCTCATCAAAACCCCAGCACAACAAAGCTGTGGACAAGCCCCGCTCGGGTTTGTGCAGTTCCAGACATCCCTGGGGATGCTGCCAAAACCATTGCGTGCGACGTCTCGCCCCGCATCGGCATCACCTACCCTCACTGGCAGTGGTGGGACGAGGTGTCCACCACCCCCCTTGCTTCAGCCCTTGTCCCTAGGGATTCTCTCTCTGGACAGGTGGTCCCTGTCCAGCCCTGGGGGCACATTCTGCCCTTTCTGACACAAACCAGCCCCCTTGGCAATGCAGGAGCTGGATGGGTTGGGGGGGCCACGGCTGCTCCCAGCGTTTTCCTCTCCTCCTTTGCCAGCCAATGTCCAGACAGACGCTGGATCGGCATTGGTGCCTTCCTATCCCGGTAGTGAGGAGGTGTCCCAGGCGGGGCTATAAATGCCATGAACTGACGCCGGCTTGCCTCCCGCCCTGCCTGTCCTCGGCTGTTTCGTTTGAGCTGTCGGTGAGTTGTATTTTTCCTACAATGCTCTGTTCCCCCTCGCCCTGTTGGCCATCCAGATGCCCTCCGGATCTCGCTGATGGTGCAGCTGCCCCAACCTGCAGTGGGGTCCCCCTATGGAGGTTTTCCCCTGGGGCTGAGCGTGCGGCTCCTGCTGCAGCGAGCTGAGCTCAAAGGCTGCATTTCACCTCCGAGGGCTGGAAAAGCACAGGTGCCCCTTCCCTGCCTGGGCTGCCTTCCCCCACGTTCTCCCCTCCGGCATGGCTTTTTTGGAGGTTGCTCAGCACCGGTACCAGATGGCAATACCCAGCCTGGCTGCTAGCGGGGGGGTGAAATTAGGGAGGAAATGGTGATGCATCCCTGTGTATGCCCGGGAGTGGGGTACTGGAGCAGGCTGTACAGTCTGGGGAAGACTGTTGGCCCCCCCAGCGTGGGATTGTCTGGGGACCCTGAACTCTGGTCTCACCTGCTTGTGCTGTTGGTGCCTCCAGGATCGCTGGCATTCCCCATGGCGTGTCCCTTGGAGCAGGCACTGGCCGTCATAGTCTCCACCTTCCACAAGTACTCGGGGAAGGAGGGGGACAAGTACAAGCTCAGCAAGCAGGAGCTCAAGGAGATGCTTGTGAAGGAGCTGCCCAGCTTCAGCGTAAGTGTGCGGCAGAGGGTACGACATCCCATGGGTGATGCTGGGACTCAGGGATGTGGCCCTTGATGCAAAACCCCATTTTAACCCCCCTTTTGCTCCTGGGCAGAGACAAACCAATGAGGCCAGCTTACAGCAGCTCATGTGCAATCTGGACAGCAACAGTGACAGTGAGGTGGATTTCCAAGAGTACGTGACCTTCCTGGCCTGCATGGCCATGATGTGCAACGACTTCTTCCAGGACTGCCCTGACAAGATGCCACGCAGGAAGTGAGCATGGGGCACTGGCCTGAGGGCTGCATTGCTGCTCCCATGACCCTTTTGCTCTTTCAATAAAGGTTGCTTTAAACAAAGTCCTCTGCATGCTTTGCAATGAGGGGGTTTCTTCTCCCGGGGACAGGAGTGCTGTCAGACTGGGGAAGACCCCATTTCCCTTCCATGTGCATGTTGCAGGTACCGGATGACGAGCGAGAGCACGGGTGCTACTAAGTTGGAGTTGCTCTGCTGCAGCATGGGCACCTCATTCCCTGAGCCCTTGTAAACAGCCTGCTGGGCTGATCCTCGCCGGCCATGTTAGCATGAGTCAGTGGCAGGGGCTGCCCGGGCGGCCCCCTGCCCTCCAGCCCCAGTAACTGCTTCATGGTGATGCAAGGCAAGGCAGGAACTTTCACAGGGATTAATGCCTCTGACCAGCACTGTGATAACAGTGACGGGTGAACAACTCTTTTTTAGCCATAATTATTAAGCTGACACAGGGTCAGC